GTAGCGTTGGGCATACACCTGCTGCATCTGTAGTCGGATCTGCTTCATCCTTGCCAGACGAACATCAGACGCAGCAGCCGACCATGCCTCACACGAAGCGTTGGGCATACACCTGCTGCATCCGTAGTCGGATCTGCTTCATCCTTGCCGGACAAACATCAGATGCAGCAGCCGACCATGCCCCGCACGGAGCGTTGGGCATACACCTGCTGCATCCGTAGTCGGATCTGCTTCATCCTTGCCAGACGAAAATCAGACGCAGCAGCGGACCATGCCTCGCACAGAGCGTTGGGCATATACCTGCTGCATCCGTAGTCGGATCTGCTTCATCCTTGCCAGACGAACATCGAATGCAGCAGCCGACCATGCCTCACACAGAGCGTTGGGCATACACCTGCTGCATCCATAGTCAGATCTGCTTCATCCTTGCCAGACGAACATCAGACGCAGCAGCCGACCATGCCTCACACAGAGCGTTGGGCATACACCTGCTGCATCCGTAGTCGGATTTGCTCCATCCTTGCCAGACGAACATCAGACGCAGCAGCCGACCATGCCTCACATGGACCGTTGGGCACGGAGTGTTGTTCTGTCACTTCGCTCCTTTGAGATCTTGCAACAGCTTAACGCCCTTACTTCCGATCAGGCTCGCCGTCGCCTGCCCATAGAGAGGGATATGTTGGGCCCATAGAGAGGGAATATTGGATGCAGAAACCCCAGATACTTGCTCAATGCTGCTCCGTGATGCCCCACGTGAGATTCCGCCGGGCTAGGCTCCGAACGTCAGACTGCCAAAACTTGTTTGAACTTTGAAAGTTCAAAATGGGACGATGAAAGGTACTCTCCGACAAGGCAAGGAGGTCATTACAAGGTCAAGTTACCCCTGTGGCAAGAACCTATTCTGAAGTCAAAAGTGCTTGCGTCTTTTATATCGATATCGAATTCAGTCGTTTGGCATATACTTTGCGGGTTGTATACATGCAAGGGGTGAGGGACAGAGCGCTGGATAATCTGCGAGTGGCCCTCCTGGTAGACTATCGAAGGTGTAAAAGGCAGGCAGGGAATGATGATAGTAAGTTTTGGAGGATCGGTATTGAATTCAGTCGTTGGGCAGATACTTTGCGGGTTGTAGACATTCACCGACCTTTGGGAGGGGTCTCTCTCCGGTGCAGTTGGTGCCGACCTTCCAGAGAGGTCTCCGATGCAGCGCTGAGTCATCGGAGTGTTTTCTGAGGGGTTCCTCAGGATTGTGGAAGCTGTAGAGGGAGCCACTGGTGGTCTGCAGGCATGGGCGCTGGCTGCATCTTCATGTTGAGCGCCATAGCCATAGAGGCGGAGGTCAAGGTGGAAGTTGGAGGGCGGAGGAAGTCTCCAGAAGCTTGCTGAAGCTGCGTTCTGAGTTTGTTCAAGGTTGTTTGCTCTCGGTTGAGATTCTTGGGTTCTTTGTGGAGCTGATTGAACTGGAGAGAGATGGGGGACTGTGAAAGTGACATTTCATTCAATTCAATTTGAGTTTGGAGCTTCCACTGTGCATGTTTTTTTGGCCGAATTTTCACTTTTTTTTGAATTTTTTTCCCTTTTTTTTTTTTCGATTATTGGAATTGTGTCTGGTGACCGTTTCTCAAATTCTGTTCTGAAGTGTTTTTGTCCTGTGGAATTGTCTGTGGTGACCATTTCCACAAAGAAACGCTGAAAGCTCTGAATTTTTTTTGAATGCAAATTTAAAAATTTCATTCAAGTGCGCACTTTTGGCTCACCTTTTCAGTGTTTTCGCCCTTTTTTTGTGTGTTTTTTTGTTTTTTGTTGTTTTTGGTGGTTTGTTAATATGGTGTCCACTCTATGGAATGATGCAAATTTTGGTAAAAAATGCTGTCGGGTTCACTTATAAATAACATTTTAAAAAAAAAGGCTGAAATTTTGGGTCTCCATTAACCACCACCATTCCTTTGTCACCGTGCATGTGTTTATAAGAAAGTATATTGATTCTTCTTTGTCATTCAAAAAGATGCTGAAATTTTGGGAACATGTTGATTCTCTTATGGATGGTGTTCCTATCAGTCGCATCGCATAATCATGTTGCTAACTGGCTGTCTTTGCACCCACATGTTGGTCATCTGCAAGGCATGCATTTATCGAAAGTACGTGTCATGATGTCAACTATTATTTGATGTTATTTTTAGCGCATTGTTTTCGTGACACAATATTTTGCAGGCGAATACTGACAGATATGATTGGATTCCTTGTGTTGTTTGTGTATGTGCAGAACGGCAAGATGATGAGTTTTCTGAAGTCGCCAGGTTACAGCAGGTGGAGGCCCAGTGGTTCATCGAACACCACTGGTGCTTTGGGGAAGATTTCGAAACCTGTGAGCAGCACTGGAGGAGGTGGTGGAGGTAGACCAGATGTGACGGGGAGTCTGAGGCCGCCGCCAGCTGCTGAGCCCGCAACTGAAGTCATTCGGTCACTGACTGGCAGACCTGGTCCACCTCCTGGCTCCGAAACCTCCCGCTCTGGAAGACCTGGTCCACCTCCTGGATCGGAAACCCCCCGCTCTGGAAGACCTGGTCCACCTCCCGGATCGGAAACCCCCCGCACAGCTCAGGTTGCCAACGACCCAGGAACGCGGAGTGCAAGCACTGCGAGCACCGCAAGCGGCACAAGCGACACAAGCGGCACGAGCGGCACGAGCGGCACAAGCACCAAGTCCACCGCCCTGCCTCCAAGTGCGCCGCTTTCACGGACTATCAGCCTGCAGAGTACTCCGTCGAAGCTGACGTCAGGTGGCGGAAGGACAGGGCCATCCACGGAGGTCATACGCACAAAGACATCCACTGGGCTTATTCGGACAATCAGTTTGGGATCGAGTGCGAATGATCGCCGTGACATGACGACTGGCTCGTCGAAGAACACGAGCTTCGTGTCGAGCATCAGCGGTGGCGGTGCAGACACCGAGAGTGACGAGCCGGACACACCTCGCAGCCGAAGTCTTATGGCGAAGGAGTTTGCGGAGCTGGCGCTTCAGCAACAACGACTTCCGGCATCCACCCGAGACATGCAAACGGGTTTCGAGAGGGGCCAGTGTGCAGCAGAAGCAGCGTATACAAAGGTCATGAGCGAGCCCCCGGGTGGGAAGGGTGGCTCTCAGCAGGGGTTGGAGTTGCTTCATTCTTTGAGAAAGAAACTCACCGACATGGAGCTAAGCGGCGCACCCATTCGGAGGGAAGATGTGACGAGCGCAGTAAACTCAGCGGATGCTCTGCTTTCACAGTGGGCTCTCCGCGACAACGAAATCCAGCACGAGAAGGTGGAAGTGCGGAAGATGGCAGCACTGTTTAAGCAGGCGAACGAGGAATCGAAGAGAATGGTGGAAGAGGCACGGAAAATTGCCCAGGATGAGATTCGTATGGCAAGAGAAAAGGTGAAAAGGGCAGAGGAGATAGCACGCGGCGTGGTGGCATCGCGGCCGGATGAAGTGGACCCCGAAATGCAAAGGCTAAAGATGGAGGTGATTGAGGCGAGGAGAATCAAAATGCTACACCAGCCGACAATGGTTTCGCATCTAGAACTGCAAGTCACAGGTCTCCAGAAGAGCCTTCTGGACAAATGCCAGGAGGTAGTCAAACTTAGACGAGAGATCGACTTGCTGAAAAACCCGAGGAAGAGGCCGCTCCCATATAAACTAGACGGCTTGGAGTTCCTGGGGTCGATGCTGTCCATCGTGCCCACAGCCCCCGAAGGTCAACTACCCTACCCTTGTGAAATTCAATGGTATCGCGTTCATAAGGACGGAAGGGTGGAGAGCATTGCCGGGGCGACAGCCGCAGCGTATGCGCCTGAGCCGAATGATGTGGAATGCCAGATGAGAGTGACAATCAAGTACGGCAACAACTCACGTAAGATGGAGATCCTAGAGAGCTCCGGACCGTTGGATCCTTGCCCGGGCCTAGACCAGTTTGTGGACCTTCTGTACAAGTATGGGACCGCGCATTTCAATGTGGTTGTACTGGAGCAAACTCCGTTCAGCGGAACACTTGTCGATCGGAAAGTCGCCCATGTGTTCGAGATATCCAAAGATAGAGTCAAGCTGAGGAAAGGAAGGGTAGCAAAGGCAAGGGATCCGTACAGTCCGGGAATGCAGCTGGGAGGCGCGAGAGGAAGTTCGGAGAGCGCAGCGCAATCGATCCTTTGGCAGACAAGGGGGAAGGAGTTCCTACTGCAGATGGAGAGCGAGAGGGAGAGGAATGCGGCAATCCTGCTGGCCCGGCGCTTTGCTTCGGAGTTCAAGTACAAGCCCCCTCCAAGCGGTGAGTCAGGTTACAGCAGTGATAACTATACTTCGTATGCTGGCAGCGAGAGTGGGTCTGTGAGAGGTTGAGTAGCGCCTCGTGTACTCTGTGTGGAGTTTGTGGAGTGGACGCAGACGGTGTTGTTGTGTTTTCTCCTATTCTGCTATAATTTTGAAGGCGTGGCATTGCGTTTATTCATCGAATACCAGGCGTTCCTGGCTAGCAACACAGTCCTGCCGACTGTTGTGTTCGCTTCCATTCTTATCCGTCATGCTAACTTATATTCATTGCTGTACACGCACGCTGCTGAAGGAGGAAGACGATCACGCCTGGTGACGAGCTCGTTTTTGCAAGCTCTGGCAAGAGGGGTCTCATTTCTTCTGATGACAATTACCGTTATGTCATCATCAGGACCTTAGGGACCGAGAGAATGCAGGATCATTCTGGAAGCGTTCCATTTACCATGGTAAGTTCCATTTACCACGGTAAGTTTATTATTTGCGTGTGTCAAACTGCCAACGCCACTGCGAGTGGCGTAACCCCCTAGACTCCTAGCATACTATCTTTGCTAGCTTCTCCCTTTAGAGCTTGTGATTGGGAAAACGTTCACCCGCTCAGAGTTAGCGATAGTGTCTTCTTCGTCTTCAGATATTGCTTGAGGGCTTGTTGTGTGTTGTGTTGTTAGCTGCACCGTAGTTCTTGGTGAGGTTTTACCAGGAAGGTGGAGCTAGAGGTGGTCAGTAGAGGAGGAGGCGGAGGAGGGGGGTTGAGGGGGGGAAGGAGAGGTTGTTGCCCGGGCCGCATGTATAGATAGGTGATTGTTCCATCTTGTATATTTCGTTCTCAGAAATGTCAGAGCAGGGTGGGTAGGTAATTTACGTATGCTGATGACCTGTCTGCATGGACTGTGGTGAGATGTATCCGTTAAGACAAGAGAAGTAGTATTGGTCGCAATGGTGGTCGTTGGGATTATGAGGTATTTACTTATTAGAACTTAGAAGACAGTTCTCATGGGGGATGATATAGTGGTAGGTAAAAGCTTTCACGGTGCCGGATGATCTGGCATCGAAAGGTACTGTGAGTGCTGGATCTCGCGGGAAGCGGTAACGTTAGGTAGTAGTTTTTACGGTGCCAGGCTGCCAGCGTACCGTAGAGAAGCAGGCTACTAGGCATTGCAGTCACTGTGTTTATTCCTCCTGCCGTACTCCATACGTAGTTAAAACTAGAGTAGGCCCGCTTCTTTGGTCAGCATACATCCTCACTTTCAAGATGATTTCTCCTAAGTTCTCTCCCTCTGCCTGTTCATTCAGTACTTACTCCATGTACTTGAGCACCTCTCTCTCTCTCTCTCTCTCTCTCTCTCTCTCTCTCTCTCTCTCTCTCTCTC